TTGAGATCTAATTTGTAGATTAGAAACCTGTATCACAATGATTGTCAAAACCTGGTACAAATTTTTTGAGTGCTTAAATAATAATTATAATAATATTCTTTTTTTTTAAATATTAATGGTAAGACTATATTTCTGTTTTTATTAAAATTTAATTGTATGAAGTATAGTGAGAACTTATATATACAAGTAAAATTTAAAAAATAACTGTCTGTTCAGCATATTATTATGTTATAATTGAATAATAATTTGTATATATTAGAGGTCTGAGCAGAATTTTGTCTGTCTGTCTACCAATGTGACCAATCATATAAATAATTAGATAATTTTTTAATTTGTTTCAGACTTAAAACAGCATCTGTTTTCTTAGTTTAATTCTTTTATAGTGAAAAGAAAATTTGTACAAAAAAAAGAATCTATTTAAATTTATATCTAAAAATAGCAAAAAAAAATTTTAAACTAATTTATCTGCAAAAGTCTTAAGCTCTTAATTTGTAAAACAACAAAACAAGTTTGCTATAATAAAAGTTCAGTATATTATTAGGTAAAAAAGTGGCAAAAAATCAAGAATCTAAGTGACAAACCAAAATTAGGCTATAAAATAACCACTATCCAAAGACAAGATATAAGAATTTTGACTAAAATTTTGTAATATTTATTGACAAAAATATCTCTGCTTGAATTAATAACTAAAAAAAGTGTGATAGTTCTTCAGAAGAAGAATATTAATTTATTCTGTTAAGCATCAGTTGAAGGTTCATATATGGGTTTTTTTTTGGGCTTTAAAAGATTGGTTTGCTTTATATATAACTTTAATATGCAATACATGATTACCCTATATGAAACAGGTTTTCTGCCTTCTATTGTAGACTTTTTTAACAAATATAAATCTTGCAAAAGAACAGCAACCTAAAGTATTGTTCAAAAATTATGAAGATATGAAAAAAAAAATGATACCCAGGTTCTTTTTTGATCATCAATATCACTTGGTCAAAACCTAATTAAAATGTCTAGGAGCTAATAAAAATAAATCTAACAAAAAAATTAGAATACTTAGTTGTTTAAAAAGTAAAATAACAAGAGAATAGAATAGCTTGTCTAAAGAATATATGAAAAATTTAGTTAGAAGTATGAGAGATTGTGTAGAAGCTCTAATTATAACTAAGAGTAATTATATAATACATTGATTTTTTTTGTAATACAATATATTTTTAAACAAAAGCAACTCTTCTCGATGATCACTCATACCAAATTTTTGACTAACGAAAACAGAAAACTTGTTGAAGAATAGTAGAAGAGACAACTAAAATAACAGTTTTTATAGAGGTCAAGGTTTCCGTTTTTCTTGTTATTTTCTTCCAGACTCCTCTGTATATTTAGCAAGCAAGTTAAAAACATTCTTGTGCAAGATAACTGGCAGAAGATGGAGCCCTTGTATAAAAAATTTTGATAGAAGCATAGCTGTTGCAGCAGCTTCTGCTAATGAAGTTAAAGTTAGTTGGTCTAAAGGAGAACAACAAGTAAGTTTTCAACACACTCTTTATCGAAGTTTAAGGCTACTCGCAAACCAAAACCCTCTTCCAAAACCCTACTCTCTGTTCTTTACGAAATTTCGACAAAAAGTAGAAAATTTAGCATACCCCTATCAAAGGATCAACAAAAACAATCACTGCCAAAAAAGGAAATTCACGTACAGGAATACATATCTACTTTGGGATAAATAATGTCTGATCAGTTTTCTCAAGAGGTTATGGTGTCTACACCGAGCACCCTAGTACGCTAACTTTGTTCAGATACAAGCTATATCAAGCACGAGAATACGTTGCAGAAGACTGTGCTGAAAACCTAGTAGGACTACAAGAGAAATTTCGAACTTGGATCTCTACTCAAGAATATATATATTATATATCCTAATATAGATATAAATAACTAGCATAGAGTTTAGTCTAGTTTATTTAATAGTACCTAGGAGTTAGTAAAATTATGGAGAGAACAACTTATAATAAATATATGCCAATAAAAATGCCATGCATAACCTTGCATAATTCTGTGTAATGATCAAGTAGATTTATAATAAAAATATTTACACTACTATATCAATGAGCCTTCAACAATATTAACCGATTGCTGATTTGAGATATGTCATTGCCATATTCTATTGGCATCATTTGGTAGATTTATATAAAGATTGTGTGTATTTCGTATTCGCAGGGACTAAATTTTGCCTTCTAAAAATAATTGAAATCGTTAAGTCTTAAATTCTAATATTATTTAATTCTACATACTGTATAAGCGCGAAATAACGCTCATGGGTGTTATTTCAAAAATCAGAAACCCCTAAAATAGAATATGTGGTCTCAAATTTGCACCCATAGACGTCTTGAATTAAAGTGCATCTCAATATACCCTACATAAGAGTAAAGAAGCAAAAATTGCTTTGGAACTAGGTCTGATACTAAGTAAACCTACTTTCAAGCTCTATTTACATTGAGGTTTACTTAATACCAAATCTAGTTCTGGAGTATTTGCTCAAATCTTATTGTGATTTAAAGGTACGGTTCAGACAATTAACTCTTATTTCGCGCTTGTATAGTATATTTATTTTAAATATTTAGCAAACCATACTTTGTATATTGGTGAGAGATGCCTCAATGTGTGTGATATAAATATACTGTATCGATTTTTATGTAAATATAGCAAATGAAGTTAAAAATATAAGCATATTCGATAATTTTTTAGGATTTTTATAATTAGATAGATCAGCTTTATAGATTCAAAAAAAAATTTTATTTGTATCAAAAAATTTCTGGTTAATTTTTTTTTTAAAATAAATTTTTTATAATTTAAAATAAAAAGTGAAGTTGCTATAACATAGTGAGCATACTAAGTTTTAAAGTCAAGTAACGAACTCTGAAATTATTATACTTTCTTATTTTGCTTTTTCGAATTTATTACTTTTTGAAACCATTATTTCAATAGCATAATAACATTTTGTTTATCAAAATTAGCTGTGTCTTTCCAAGATTATATTGTCCAAGTGAATCATTACTTTTTAACCTATACTTTCATCATAACAAACTCCAAGATTATATTAGTAGATTTCAAATACCAAATACCCGATATTACACTGTCCATTTTAATTGCCATCTTTAGTTATTTCTGATTCAGCTTCCTAAATGTAAATTAATCAAAATTATCATTATATAAAACCAACTATGCATATATATAGGTATTTGCTATAAAAATGACCCTCCGACACATTGATTTACATAGTATCTGTGGGTATTCTTATGGCAAAAATTCTATATACATATTTTTCTTCTAATAATGTGTAAAGCTTACATGCAAATTATGAGTAACACTTGATTATTTCAAATAAAAAGTCAGCCTTTCTTTTTTGTTTTTTCGTTAAACTCGGAGCCATTATTCAAATGATTAAAAAGTAGATCGATAAGAACTGACTTTTTTTTTCTTTTATCTTTAATAGTTTATTTTGAAACGCTTGAACAAGAATCGTTAGGTCAGATAATGTGAATGCCTTCTCAAATGCACTTTTAGCACCATTATCTCGAGCCCAAATCTTAAGCTGACCAAGTGCTAACTTAAGATTTTCTGGTAGCATCCCTTTCGTAAATATAACAAGTTTCATTTTTGGTTGATCATCTTTTTTTGCATTATTTTTTAAATCTACACCCATTGCCTTGATATTCTCTCGTAAACAAGATGAACCTTTTTCTGAAATATATTCCTTAAATTGTCACCAGGACTGTTGTCTGCTTCGCATGTAAATTTTAATCAAACGCACCAATAGATAGTCTTTAGCTTCTTGTTATAATTGAATACTGTTATGTATGAATTCTGGAAATAATTCTTTATTTTTATATTCAGCATTACGATAAAATTCGTATACTATTTGCAAAAGGTCATTAAACTGCCTCTTTAAAGGTTGATTGCTTACAAGATTATTATCGATATAAATTAGAATATCTGGCCTATACTCTATGTGTTTTTCAAATAGCTGAAAAATAAGCGACTCTAAATAATACATGAATTGAATAAAATCAGCTCCTGAAATAACTATTGTCATTTTTGAACGAGTATCACATATGTATTCTACTTGCTCAGAGCTAAGAACATTTAAACATGATTCGATTTTTACAAATTCTTCATGTGCTAATGTTAATCTATCACTTTTTGTTAATTTGTAGATAGTTCATCTAATAATATACTGAAATTTTGATACCTCGGCAGGTTCCAGGTCAATAATTTTTCTAGGTATAATCTATGAATCAGTATGATTCATAAAAAGTTAATCATGATACTGTCTGTTGTATACTTGTCTAAATATGATTCTTATAATTTTTTCAAGTAATATATAGGCTATCAATCGTTGGGTTTCTACTTTAATATCATCCAGGGCCAACAGTTGAAAGTTGTTAAACCAATCACCTACATACTTGTAATTATTTAATCGACTTTTCAGATTTGTTGACTATGTTGTAAGCTAATAGATATTTTTTTTTTGTGGAACTGAATCTAATGCTATTTGACGAATATTTTTAGACCAAGTTACCAAAAGATTCTCTACGCTATCCTTATATAACAACCATTCAATTAATCATACTCTTTCAAGCTACAAGCAATTAATAGTAGATAGCGGTAGCTGCATTCGTCCTATTACCAGATCATCATTAAGAAGTTCTTGAAATATTTGGTAGCTGAAAGTAGGGAGCATTTCAATTTGGATTT